CGTGGTGCCGCGGCTACAATAGCCACAGTTACAGTAACTGCTGGTTAGCTGAAGCGCGCCAGCTGATAAATGATCAAAGCACCGACACCCGCCTATCCTGCTTACTAGGCTGGGTTAAAGTCAACAGATTATCATTGTTGCGAAGTAAAAGTTAACTACCACGCACCCGTGGGGTTTGCTTTGATGTTTCTTCGTGCAACGGATTTTGCGCCACCAAGAATCCATCGGACCAGTATCCTCTGCGGAGCTTGTCTTTTGCCACCGATGAACGAACGGATGATCGGCCCGACACGTGTATTAGCAAGCGTAAGGCGACCGGGACGCGCTGAAGCACGAATGTATGCTGCCTCAATGTATGATATTTATTTAATACCGCATGCAAATAATATAACAAGGTCGCAGATAGTTCAAACTGGTTTAACAATTAACTACGATTAACCATTATACTGGCATGCTAGCATAATTCATGTTGCAGCTGGCAGTAGATTAGAATCGTTTCCTTGCATAATTGTCTTAATAACAATACATGTCACGCGTATGCAAATATAAGTTATGCAGACGGTATATTACCAAGTATATACGGGCGGCCACCTGTAGGGTTTCGCCTGTGCATTAATAATATTAATATGCCGGTACCAGATGATACACTTAAATAAAAATAGGATAAATATGAAGTTAAATAGAAAACGTTGGCATAATATATGCATCTGCATGGCTTACGCACATAAATAAACCACAGGCGCGAAGATACATAACTTGGTTTATGGCAAATTAGTATAACTATAGTAACAGAAGCGAAGTACACAAAGTGTTACTTATTATCAGTTATTATCCTACCCTCGATAATAGTTGTATAACAGTATTGCTAGTCGATTATATACAGTCATAGTAGAAAAATCATTCACATGACTTCGAAAATTCGTTTTAAATGAACATTCGTTTTAAATGAACACATTCGTTTTAAATGAACGAGCTTCGAGGTGTGCAGCAAGTCGTGCTGTGAGGTGCGGTGAGGTGAGGTGACGTGCGGTGAGGTGCGGTGACGTGCGGTGCGGTGCGATGCGGTGCGGTGCGGTGTGGTGAGGTGAAGTGAGGTGAGGTGAGGTGAGGTGAGGTGAGGTGAGGTGAGGTGAGGTGAGGTGAGGTGAGGTGAGGTGCGGTGAGATGAGGTGAGGTGCGGTGAGGTGAGGTAAGGTGAAGTGAGGTGACGTGCGGTGCGGTGAGGTGAGGTGAGGTACGGTGAGGTGAGGTGAGGTGAGGTGTGGTGAGGTGTGGTGAGGTGAGGTGAGGTGAGGTGAGGTGAGGTGCGGTGAGGTGCGGTGAGGTGAGGTGCGGTGAGGTGCGGTAAGGTGAGATGAGATGAGACGAGGTAAAGTATGGTAATTGCAATGCCCTCAATGATTCTAGCATAAAATTAACATACTAAAAATCGTACAACAAAGACCATACACACACTGCGTTTGGCCTCCGCTAGAATAACAACGCGGCTGCTCGTCACAAGCATAGGAGTCCGGTTTGCGCTATACAAACTGCGAAAACACATATACGTGAGTCACATATGCCACTGATCTGCTTGTACTTGATGGCAGTTCATAACGCGGTAACAGCATCAATCAGCGCTGGCCTTGATGAGCAAACCCGCATGATCACTGACTGTTTGTCTGACCCGACTGTCAATAACGACTACTTCCTGCGATCCTTATTTATTTCCTTATTTGTATAGAGTGATTTGCCGACACCTGCCCTGTTTTTCCTCACCTGGATATTAACAGCGCACACAACGTGCCCGGTCTCAGCTTGTGGCTTAGCTAGCCTGCGGTGACCGTACATGTTCGAGTGGTGTGTATTTGTGCGTGTATCGGTGTGTTCAAGCCCGATGTGTTCAGACTTTCATGCAGCTGCGATTATTGGCTTCTGTACGTGAAAGCAGGTATTTGTTATTCAGGGCTGATGCAGGGTTATCGCATGCACTCCTCTAATGTGTTGTGCACTTGCGGCAGCTCGGATTTTATCGCTTAGCTCATTTGAGAAGGCGTAGCTCCTATATGATCTAGTGTAATTACCAAAATCGAAGCGCTGTGCGCGAAATTTTGTGCGCGTATGGCATAGTATGTCACATTTGCGCAGTTGGTGCAATAAGATAATGATGTGAAAACTGTTCTTTCTCAAGCTTTTATACAGCAACACGTACGCCATGCTTAGAAAAATGTCAATTCATCCAAATGTAAAATATGCGTGCGAATACACACGCGCACATACAACACTCACCCGCGCGTACAGACACACACGTACGAACACGCTCATACGGCACGCACACAATCACTCACACGCTGACTTAAAGGGGCATGTAACTACGTGATATTGTGCTTCACAGCTAAACGCACTCGAACGAAAAAGCATAAGAGAGAGAGAGAGAGAGAGAGACAGAGCAAGCGAGAGAGGGACTGCTTGTGGGTGTGGATGCGTGCGAGTGTACGTGCGTGCATGTGCGCGTGGGTGTATACTGTATATGTGTGTGCGCGTCTGTGTGCGTGCGTGTGTATGAGTATGTGTGAGAGGAAGATAGAATGTGAATGAGGAAGAGAGGAGTAGGGAGATGCAAGAGAGAAAGAGAGAGATAGAGAGATAGAAAAAGAGAGAGAGAGAGAGAGAGAGAGAGAGAGAGAAAGCGAGATGTGCAAACATAATGACTTGTTGTGTGAAGATAGTGTTCTTGAAAGTTGCGAGTGACAAGGTAGATTAACAGTCGTATATACGTAGTTGTTTGAGATGAACACATTATATATTGCTATGTACAAGGTTTTAGCACAGTAAATCGAAACAGATTCGACAGACCATACATATAATAATATCACGAGCTAATTTTTAATATTAATTAAATTAATTAAAATAATGAAATTTATTAATTATTAATAGTATTATTAGCTCTTAATAACATGCAACACAGCCTGCATGATCTGTCGGTGTAAAAGAGCAAGGCACCTTGCCACCTGACAGCCACACTAACTGGTGAGTGTACGTGGCTGGTATATATCTTACATCCTGTTTTCACTGGATGCCACTGGCTATTTTCGCATTTGCTGTTGATTGAACATTGAGAATGGTGGGAGTAGAATAGAGATAATTACTATCATTGAGGCAGAAATATTTCTACGGGGTGTTAACGTCATCGCGGCTCCTTTTGCCGATTACCCCCGATGTTTAATTGACGTGACCTTAGATTTCGAGAGTGCGCATAGGGCAGAATAACTTATCACGTACAGTTCCGCCTGCGATCAAGTTAGGGAGAGAGACACTCACCTAATACCTGTATGAGAACAGCACGGAACACATGCGTTAATATCTGCGTGTTCGTAGGTGACATAGCATCGTAGGTGTCTTCGATCAATGAACCTTCAATCTTGAAGCTTATTGGAGAGGTGGAAAGTAGCCAGGTCAACCATTTTTAATTTATACGAGTTTAATGTACGTATTTGTACGTATTAAGTAGTAGGTAGGTATTTGTTTCTAGAATAGATGATCGTTACTTGCCTTACACGCATCCACTGTTGACATGAAAGGTATCGTTTATTAACATCAAATTTATGCATGTGCTCTCATGGGATGCTTATGGAAATAATCACTAACTTGAAAGCCTTATTCAATTTACGTAGCAATTTGACAGGCGAAGCAAGATGATTACGCGCGTTGTGATTCCTTGAATTTTCCTGGAAGGAGAATATGACATGGACAAATATACGTCAACGGTTAAGCTATCTATTTCTTTTCATGCATTAAAAAATTCTGGGTCTTAGAGGGTCATTGTTGCGTAAGGCAGCTTTCAGTATAGTGATAAAGTTACATGTTTTGCAAAGGTATAAGGATGTGTCCTTACTGCGCAGAACCAGACTTAAGTTGGGACTTCGCGAGTGACCGAAACGACCTCACCACTAGTCATGGTCAGGCTAGTTGACAGAGAATTAATGGACTTGTCGGTAAGCCACCATTTTTCAATGGTGACGTGTGTTGACTGTATGACCTTTCATTTCGACAGCAACAACACCGAGATTACTATACTGATTCTATCTTGACCGTCACTACGGATTCATTCTCTGACAACGTGTGCTCCTCGTCAGTGTGATTGCACATCTGCTGACGGTGACATGAATGACTAAAGTACTCATTGCTAAGAGTGTGAGGTCTCATCTCTGCGATTCGTCTTTAGCATGTCATGCGACCAACGACGTCGTCACTGGCCTGGACATCGTGCGCGCGGGTGGTTAATTGCGATTGCGTGTCTACTAGCCGCCGGTAGATTGATGAACTAGTGACAACTTGCGGTTAGAGTATCCAGTTTACTGGACATTTGCCCGACGGTGCGTGCCCATCCGTACAACAATGGAAACATCGTTAACTCATTATTGTTTCAATTAGCGAGCATTAGCGTCGCAGAGTGTGATTTGAATGTGCAGCTCTGGAGCCAGAACTGCACCGTGAGTGTCAGAGACAGGAAGACTGACGCACTTAGAATCGCAGCAAAGAGGCAAAGTTCATTTCGCTGCAAATTCGCAGCATTCTGCTTTGGGCCGAGCGGAGATTTTTGTTAAGGCAGCCAACTGTGAGCGGCAAACTTTGCCCCTTTAGTAATTGTGAGGTGTTGTTGACAGAACCTTGGTTCTGTTGAAAAATTTCGCGCGTTAGACTTTGACCTATTCAGAAAATTTCCAAATTGAATACGATTTCCAGTTTTCTGGAACGTGCAGACGGATTTTCCAGCTGACGGTGTAACTAAACACGCACTGAGTCATTTTAGCCGAGCAGATACTATTGACGCCATACACTGTGTGAAATAACACTGATTCTAAAAACGACAGATTGTAAAAAAAATGTCTCTCACCAGACTAGTAGATAATTGATGAACTAATGGATCTAGCCAGCCATGAATGACGATGTGAACAGATGTTGAAAAAAATAAGTTAGTTAAAAATATAAATGTTTTATGTTATTTGATTTCCCCGTAGGATTACGTGCTCGCGTGCGACTACGAACTACCATCCATGGCTCTCACTACAACTGCTGAATCACCGGCAACCTCATCCTCTAGCAAGCCCGGACAGCTAGCAGTCGCTTAAAGGTAATCGCGGCTTATTGTGTACATTTCTGCTTACTGCTGGGCATTGAGTTATTGTCAGTTTTCTTTTGTGGTGCTTCGCGTAACTCTACCACTTAGTTGTGCCATTAACTGTCACTAATTCCGATAATTAACTGTTCTCGCAAACAGCAGATTGGTACCCATTGTAATGATGTTAACACTCGAGGAGTATTAGCTACCCGATGTGCGGTCCCGATATCACTCTAGCTGCCATTATTCCGGGAATATCTAGGCGTGACGGTAGATTACTTACGTGAAGTGTGAGGCATTTCGCAGTTACATTCCAATGCAGATTTATGTTCAGTAGCGATTGTGTAACCCTTACTATTGTGTCGATGTTTGGTGCGCATGCAATATGCTTATATGAATAATGAATAATATATGAAATGTATGTGTGTGTGTGTGTGCGTGCGTGCGTGCGTGCGTGCGTGCGTGCGTGCGTGCGTGCGTGTGTGTGTGTGTGTGTGTGAGTGTGTGTGTGTGTGTGTGTGTGTGTGTGTGTGTGTGTGTGTGTGTGTGTGTGTGTGTAGTAACTAAACTATTATTAGTTTACGTTACTAGTTGGTTTGGTTTCGGTCGGTCGGTACGGTAAGTAAACGTAAAGTTAAACGTTAACGTTCGTTC